ATAAATGAAATTTTATAAATGGTAATATTTAAATATTTAATTAAATTATAATATTAAAAATTGGATTTTGTTATATTGTGTCTCGGTTTATTATTGTCATAATTCATGAAAATCGTAAGTTATTAGATTAATAAATCCATGAAATCAATAATATAATAAAAAAAATTATGAAACCGGTTTCATACATGGTGAAATTGGTGCATGAAGTAAGTGAAAATGATTATGGAATGAGTGCATGATGAAAACGGTTTCATACATGGTGAAATTGGTGCATTGAGTGAATGAAAATGATTATAAAATGGGTGCATGATGAAATCGGTACAACATGAAATTGGTGCATCATGAAATGGGTGCATGATGAATAGTGTGCTTGATGATATGGGTGCATGAAGGAAGTAAAACCATTTCAAAAAAGATATGAAAAAGCCTGTGTAATTAGCGAAAAGTGAAGCAATTTCATTATCAATAGCGTGAAATGACAAATGACTCATCAAACCATGTTGGCCGATGAAATGGGTGATTGAAGAAAGTGAAACCATCTCATGGTTTCTAAGAAAATTTTGTGTACTTAGTTAACAATGAAACAATTTCATTATCAGAGAACTATTTCATAATTATTAAGAAGATGTTGTTTAATTAGCAAACAGTGAAACCATTTCATCATTAGATTGAAACGGATCCATCTACCGGAAACTTGAAAATGACAAATGTCTCATCTAGCATTACGTTGATTTGTGTATTGATGAAACTGTGAAACCATTTCGTTCATGAAATGTAGTAGTAATTTTTTTTATTCAAAATGTTTTATTATGTTAAATTAATTATAGTGTGTTTTATTTTTATTGTTGATCTATTTTAGTGATGGATGTTATTTTTTTTTATAATATTTGAACACAAAATTAATATATATTATTTTACAAATGATTTTGTTTCATTAATATTACGATATATATGATATGGTTGTCATTAATATTACCACTACAAAAGTTACCATTTTGTCATTTTTGGGATTATAAAATGAATGTTTATTTTTAATTTTCTACTATAACCTAAACTAATTGACCATTGATCATGAAAAATGCATGAATGAGATTGGTTTACATGGTTTACACAAATGAGGACGGTTTTCATTTGATCGCTCCTCTTTCTCTCTCTCTCTCTCTCTCTCTCTCTCTCTCTATATATATATATATATATATATATAGAGCTTAGTTCAAATATTAACCAATTTTTTGTGTTAACTATGTTAACCAAGCTCAACTAATCATATTCCATCTTTTTATTTGGTTCAAATGTAACTCATATACTAAATACAAGGGTATTTAAATAATTTGTCATTTTATGTAACTCCCAAATAATTAATTGGGAGTTACAAATTTGAAAATATCACAATTGATCATGATGC